TCTTTAGTCGACCAAGGGGTCGGGGTTTATATACAATTTTGAACTTCAACATTTACAGTCGGTCACCTGGCCGTCTATTTATATTAATCATCCGGCTGTTTTTTGCTGGTATTCTTCAATTTCCATGAATTTTTTCAAATTTTTGTTTTTCATGAATTTTGCTAAGTGTATGTGGCTTGCCTTTTGCTTTCATGAATGCATTATATACCGACTATTCTTGCCCATGGGCGACTGGCGCCTGGTTTTCAAAGGTGAGTTGATTGACCTAGTATTTTTGATACTTTTTCGGTATTACTAATTCTAGGTCAATCAATCACTATGGTGATTGCCCCAAACCAGGCAGACAGTTGGCCATTGCCCAGGCTAACACCAAGCATAACTCGGCTCTCGGCCTCAATATAGTTCTTGACGAACCTTGGCTTCGTACTTGGTTTATTTTATTGATTATATGTAGTCCATCTGTTTGGTGCTCGTATAGAACAGGCGCCAATCTGGACGTTTTTAATCAAGGTAGCTTCATGGTGTTAGCAAAAAATAGGAACAGTGGCCGACGACCGTCTGTTTGCCAAAAAAAAGGCGGTTTCGTTCGTACCTTTTAGATTCCAAATGTAGATTGTTGAGTGACTATGAACTTTTAGGTTGATCAATCTCCGTCACTTGTACTTGAGTAATCAAAAGAAATAGTCGGCCCTCCGTCTGTTGTGTTTGCAACTTAGAGGAATAGTGACCGAATACCGTCTGTTTGCCAAAAACAGGCGGCTTGGTTCGCACCGTTTAGGTTCCATCTTAAGTTTGCCAGGGTGACATGAGTTAACCCTTGAGGTTAATCAATCGGTCACTTTGATTTGGGTGAGTAGAAGAAACAGGCGGCTCAGGCCACATGGTTCCTCATGAACTGCAATGTACTAAGCTTGGTACTTGGTTTATTTTGTTGGACGTTAGTTGGCCATCTGCTATGGTGGCTGCATAGAAGCAGGCGTCAAACGAGATGTCCAACCGAAGTAGCTACGCTTGTTGGGTTACAGGCGGTAGCTTTATTATAGTCAATCTAGTAATAATTGTGGTCGAGTACCTCTGTTTTCCAAAAAACAGGCGGCTTTCTCATACCTTTTAGGTTCCGTACTAGGTTGGTTGAGTGACTATGAGTTAACCTTGGGGTTAATCAGTCTCCGTCACTTTTGTTTGAGTAGTAGGAGAATCAGACGGCTTAGGCCACATGATCTCCTTTATTCGCCAAGTTTTGCTTAGCTATTTACTCAAATTACACCGTTTGCATTTATCCCAAGTAATGACAGGCGGTTTTTGACTCGGATTTTAACAGTCTACCGCTTGTTCGGGGAGCGGTACGTTTATCTTCGTCTCATGTCAAAGGACTGCGAGGTTGTCCTTGGGGACACTTGGTAGAGCCGTTTGTTTTAGGTTTATAGAGCAATGTGCCACCCAAATGGGAGATGCTCTCTGCGATGAATTCACCAGGATAGATGTCGCCGGACGCCTGCTCAAGTTTTGGGACAGACGTATTAGTTTAATTATAAAAAGATCAATCGGCCATGGGCCTTAGGTTGATCATCCGGCCTGTGGCCTCATTAGATTGTTCAGAAAAGAACAGATTGCTAAATCGTCTAAACTTAACGTTTTTACTCAAGTACTTAAAAGGAATAAGGCCGACTGTGTTCTGCACAAGCGGCTTGCCCCACTGAGGAGACTTGCACAATAATTGAAATAAATTGCAAACTTTATTGATGTGTTTACAAATGATTTACAAATCTCAGAAGTAGTACTTTTTTAAGTTGTCTACATTCCAAGTTCTAGCTAGCTGCCTGCCGTCTGGTGTTTCCAGGCGGTAGGTTCCGCCTCTAACTTCATAGATTTGGTAGGGGCCATCCCAGTTAGGAGTCAGCTTTCCCTACTCATTGGCCCTACCGACTGCTTCCATCTTTCGTAACACAAAGTCCCCTACTTTTAGGGGCCGCTTGTGCACTCTTTTATTGTAAGCTCTCGTCATTCTCAGACGATAGATCTCATGGCGCAAGGCTGCATTGCCCCTGCGTTCTGGAAGTGAATCTAATGCTAGTCGCATGGCTTCCCAGTTGGCCTCTTCGTCATAAAGCATGACTCGAAGAGTCGGCTCATAATGCTCAATAGGCAGCACAGCCCCTGCCCCATAAACCATGAGAATTGGCGTTTCACCAGTCGCCCCTTTTTCAGTCGTCCTGATGGCCCACAGAACATGCGGTAGCTCGTCAGCCCATAGGCTGCCGGCTCTTTCAATTTTCTTTTTGATGCCATCAGAGATTAACTTGTTAAATGCTTCGACCTGGTCGTTTGCTTAGGGGCGGCTGATTGATGCAAAACAATGAGAGATCCCTTGGTCTCCCAACCAGTTCTTGAGAGCAGGCGTCTCAAATTGAGGCCCATTGTCAAAAACCATAGACATGGCACTAGTAGAAAAAACCAAATTGGAAGCCAATAATTGGAAGCGGTTTATCAAATCCGCTTCCAATTCCTTACAAATACCCGCCCAAATTTTTTTAAAAAAAAAGGAAGAATTTGAAGCGGTTTAGGTTGAACCGCTTCCAAAAAGCAATTTGAAGCGGTTCAAACCGCTTCCCTTTTTCAAAAAAAAAAAAAACCCGGCATTACCTCCATTTTTCCACTCCATTTCAACGTATTGCTTGCTCTGAATTCCCCTCCATTTCTTCGCTTCCACCATTGCTTCCCTTCAACTTCCACTCTCACACACCTACACTCCACCATAACCACCGTCACTTAACCCCACCACAACAACTAGCAACAACCTGCCAAAAGCCGCTGCACCCACCACCATTGGCGTTGTTTTAGGTCATTGTTGGACCTGTTCCGAGCAGCATAGCAAGGACTCCACACCCTGCACTGTCGCCGCCTCCACCCGCCACGACAACCACCACCACAGCAAGCATTTCCTTTGTGGACGCTTTGCTGCTGCTGTTGCTTATTGACGCTGCTAGCCACCACACTCGGCCTCACCACGACCTTTGCTGCTGCGATGTTGCTTGAGGACCCTGCTGCCCTTCTCATCTTCACACCGAAACACCACCACCACAGGCATTCCTTCTCTTTGTCCCTCACAAATTAGGGTGAGTTCATGCTTACTTAATCTTACTACCTTATTTACATGTTCTTAACAATTTCCCAAATTTTAGGGTTTCAATATTAGTTAATCATATTTTATGTTAATTATTTTAATAATTATTCGTATACAAAATGTTAATTCTTACCTTAATTGTATAATGTTTTAAGTTGTTTGAATTTGAGTAGCTAAAAAGTGATGAATTATTGAATATGGATTGTAAGTGAGCTTAGTTTGCTTGTAGGTAGTCCAATTAGCATTGTATGAATGAATGAACTTGTGTTTTGTTAAATGTCAAACAAATGGAAATTTTTGAATGCTTGCATCATCATTTGCCTAGATACCCGTTCAAGTCTTTCTCATTAGGAGGAAGACTTGAATGGTCCCCGGTTGGGACTGTTCTTGGGCGTTTAATCTCACTTAGGCAGTGAATGTATGTCTCTTTTTCGATTTTAAGGAATTTCTCGGCTTAGCATTTCGTCTCCATGTTCTCCGGGTGCATATGTAGGTAATTATTTACCTACATTGTGTACTTGGAGAACTGGGGCGAAATGCTGCCGGATTTTCCTTAAAATTGGAAAGTTGACATACATTCACTAGTGAGATTAGACGTTCAAGGATGGGTTAGGTTGGAGTGATAAGGACCTTTTTGGGAGCATTCATTTTTACACTATATGTATGAACGATATAAATACAAACAATGTACTTTGATTATATGTTGCAATTTTACATTATTTAAAATGTGTTGGTTTGCGTAAAGGCAATTTAAAACGTTGATGGATCGCGGTTGGATGTATGGTAGACGTGATACGTTGGATTTCTTTAATGGGGTCCAAGAGTTTTGCGAGAGTGCTTCACAATATCAGATCAAAACGGGTGTGAATGACCTTTATTGTCCTTGTGTCAACTGTAATAATGTGACAATGGTCGACAGTGTTGATACAATAAGGGATCATGTGGTATGTCATGGGTTTAGGCCTCAATATCATGTGTGGGTTTGGCACGGTGAACAGGGATCGTATAGGGAGAATGTTGTTGGGAACGATACTCACGATAACAAAGTCGAGATTCGTGCGGAAGATGATTATGGTAGTGATGGTGGTGGAGATGGAGATGAGGATGGGGATGAGATCAAGGACGGTGGTGGTGATCACTTGGATGAGATGATGCATAATGTTGAAGGTGAATTTGGTGACCGATGTGATGTATTTGAGTCGTTATCAGAGGCTGCCAAAAAGCCTTTGTATCCCGGGTCGAAAAAATACACCAAACTATCAGCCGTGCTAACACTTTTTAACATTAAGTCAAAGTATAACTGGAGCGACACTAGTTTTACTTCTTTGTTGACTGTGTTATGTGACATGTTGCCTGATGAGAATGAACTTCCTAAGTCGTACTATTATGCAAAGAAACTCATGTGTCCATTTGGTTTGGAGTATAAGAAGATACATGCATGTCTTAATGACTGTGTTCTTTATCGAAATGAATATGAAGAGTTGGAGGAATGTCCACGTTGTGGTCAGTCGCGTTACAAGCGAAAGAGCTGCAACGCTGGTATGAAGGGACCTCCTGCCAAAGTGTTATGGTATCTTCCCATCATTCTAAGGTTCAAGCGTCTATTTTCAATACCAAAAGATGCTAAGAACATGAGATGGCATGCAGAGGGAAGAAAGAAAAACGGTTTGCTGAAGCATCTGGCTGACTCTCCGGCTTGGATGAACATCGATATGAAGTTCAGGGCATTTGGTGATGAAGTGAGAAATTTAAGGCTTGGGTTGTGCACCGATGGTTGAATCCATTTGGCACTCTGAGTACCCAACATAGCACATGGCCGGTACTTTTAGTGATCTACAACTTGCCTCCGTGGTTGTGTATGAAACGAAAATATGTAATGCTGTCTCTTTTAATAACTGGTCCAAGGCAACCTGGACACGACATTGATGTTTTCCTTGAGCCCCTTGTTGATGATTTGAGAAAGATGTGGGACGAAGGAGTTTTTGTTTATGATGCCCATAAGAACGAGATGTTCCTAATGCGTGCAGCCCTGATGTGGACCATTAATGATTTTCCCGCATATGGCAACCTGTCCACGTATAAGAACAAAGGGCATAAAGCATGTCCTGTTTGTATCGATGACACACCAAACGTGTACCTTGAACACTACGGCAAAGATGTGTACATGAGGACCCGACGATTGCTTCGGCGCGATCACCCATATCGTAGGCAGAAAAAGGCCTTCAATGGGAAAGTTGAAGAAGGGGTTGCGCCTAGGCCATTGAGTGGGCATGAGGTGTATGGTCGAGTGAAGGGTATACCAACTGTTTTTGGTAAAACTTCGAAACCTTTAGACCCACATGCCTTATTTAAAAAGGAATCGATCTTTTGGAAGCTTGAGTACTAGAAAGAACATGATATTAGACATTGTCTTGATGTGATGCATATAGAGAAGAATGTTTGTGATGCAGTTGTTGGGACAATAATGGGTATTCATGGCAAGACAAAGGATGGGAAGAGCGCCCGATTAGATTTGGAAGCGTGGGGTGTTCGTCCGGAATTGTGGGTGCAGCCAAAGGAAGGGAAGGCAATGGTAATGGAAAAGGTAAGGGAAGATGGTGGCAATAAACGTAAGGGGGAGCGTAAAGGAAAGGGCATCGGTGTATCAAAGAAGAAAGATGAAAAGGTGTATTTACCTCCAGCTTGCTACACATTGTCAAAGGACGAAAAACGGAAGTTCTGTGCTTGTTTGTATGACATTAAGGTTCCCTCTGGTTTCTCGTCAAACATGAAAAGATTCGTTTCCTTGAATGGGGAATTGAAGTTGACTAGTATGAAATCTCACGATTGTCACATGATGATGCAAGTATTCCTACCGATTGTCATTCGTGGTATTTTACCAAAGCACGTGAGAGAAGCTATTACGAGCCTTTGTTTGTTTTTCAACACTATATGCAGCAAAGTGCTCGATCCTTTTACACTTGATGCTCTCCAGGCGAATGTAGTTGTAACATTGTGCAAATTTGAGATGTATTTTCCACCATCATTTTTTGACATCATGGTGCATTTGGTCCTTCATTTGGTTCGTGAGATCAAGATGTGCGGTCCAGTCTTTATGAGGTGGTGCTATCCTTTTGAAAGACACATGGGCACATTACAACATAAAGTCAGGAATCCAGCCCATCCAGAAGGTAGTATGATTCAAGGGATTGTTGCGGAGGAGATTGGTAATTTCGTGGCGGAGTATGTTGCCGTTGCCGAACCAATTGGGCTTCCCACTTCCCGACATGAAGGGAGACTTGATGGTCATGGCACACTCGGGTCGAAACAGATCTCACCTACTCATGATCAGTTCTTGCAAGCTCACTTATTTGTGCTTCATCATGTTGCGGAGGTTCACCCATATTTAGAAGAGCACATGGATAGTTTGCGTGCGGAATTTCCATCAAAAGGGGAAAGGGCACTAATGCAGTTGCATAATAAGATGTTTGTGACATGGTTCCATGATCGAGTCATGCGTCAATTGGATGAGAGTGTCTCTGATACTATAAAGTGGCTAGCTTATGGTCCAAAGGAAGATGTTTATTCTTTTGAGGGATATGACATTAATGGGTATACATTCTGGACTGAGCATCGTGATCAGAAATCCTCATCGACTCGAAATAGTGGTGTCACGCTTGTGGCTTCATCAACAGAGTTTGCCAGTGCGAAGGATACATCACCGGTTGACGCACAATTATCCTACTACGGACGAATTCAGGAAATATGGGAACTAGATTATCGTGAGTTCAAGGTAGGTCTATTTAAATGTAAATGGGTCGATAATATTAGGCGCAACATCAGACACGATGACTTCACTCTTGTAGACCTTGGCCACCTGCGGGATAGTTTGGAACCATTCATCCTTGCATCTCAAGCTAAGCAAGTGTTCTATGTCACCGACCCAGCCGATCCTAAATGGTCCATCGTCCTTGCTAGCAAGAGAAGAATCTTAGGGGTTGGAGATGTCGAAGACGAGGACGAATATGATGCGTTTGATGATTCGCCCCCTTTCACTGCCCCTAGAGTTGACGTATCAAATGATGTAGACAAGAATGCAAATTATATTCGAGCAGACCATAATGAGGGAATAATCGAATGAGGAACATTTGTTTTTGCATCGTAATGTCAATCTTCTTTTTTGCCATTTTGTACATATTTTTCTACCTACGTTCTTGTATTAGCATGAAATCATTACCTTTATTGCATTTTCATCTAGTAAACATGTTTTGTATACCTAATGTGAGTTGTTAGAAGGATTAGATGTGAACTAGGAATGAAATTAACGAAGTTGGGAAAGGTAGAAGCCCTTTTTTGCCATTTTGTACATATTTTGTTCACTTCGTTGTTGTATTAGCATGGAATCATTTCATTTATCGCATTTTCATATTTTAAACACTTATTAGTATACCTAATGTGAGTTGTTACAAGGATAGTTGTGTGATAGGTATGAAAATAACGAAGTTGGGAATGGTAGAAGCTCAGTTTTGCCATTCTGTACATATTTTGTTCAATTCGTTCTTGTATTAGCATTTTCAGCTTGTAAACATGTTTTGTGTACTAATTATTTGCGTTGCTTGTGGTGGTAGGTGTGTACATAAAACGGGTCGTGATGAACACATTCACCACGTAGAGGTTATGGATGATGAAGACCATGGTAGTTCTTAATCTGGTGACGAGTTGTATGATGTGAATAAGGAGCAAGATTTGGGCGAACCAGAAGACCAAGCTCATGATGAGTTGCAGCGCAGGTTTGACGCTTATGAGATGTCAGCTGAATGTGCCCCCCCTATTGTGGATGATATTGTCTCCGAGTTTGTACAAGATTCAAACGGCCAAATGGAGAAGCAACGTCAACTGAAAACCAGCAGTACACAAAAGGCATCGGGAAAGAGAAAGGTTAGGGGTCCAACAAAAGCATTTAAGAAGCCCGGGGAATAGATGGTTCTAGAGTTTGACGAGTTGGGTCAACCTACTGGGCAATGGCGCAGCAAATATTCCACACACATTGGCATTCTAACTCGTAAAATACCGATCACACTTGACTGGGCAGAGATTCCAAAAGGGTTGCTTCAAATGTTTTTGGATGATACAATGGTAAGTGTTTATTATTTCAGTTTTGTTCATGAAACTTCGAGTCAAAATGTATGCATTCGTGCGTAAAAACCGAACTTCGAGCCTAAAAACAAAATTTCGTGCCTTAAAACCAAACTTCGAGTTCAAAAAACAAAAAATCGTGCCTAAAAACCAAACTTCGAGCCTGCCTCGTTGTTGGTGCAGCATGACAGGCATGGGCTGCCTGCCTAGCTGGGCAGGTGCCTGCCTGGCTGGGCTGCCTGCCTGGCAGGTCCCTGCCTGGCTGGGCTACCTGCCTGGCTGGGCAGTGCCTGCCTGGTTGGGCTGCCTGCCTGGCTGGGCAGGTGCCTGCCTGGTTGGGCAGGTGCCTGCCTGGCTGGGCAGGTCCCTGCCTGGCTGGGCAGTGCCTGCCTTGCTGGGCAGTGCTTGCCTGGCTGGGCAGGTCCCTGCCTGGCTGGGCAGTGCCTGCCTGGGCAGGTCCCTGCCTGGCTGTGTAGGTGCCTGGCTGGCAATGTTTTTTTTTTTTGGCTAATTCCTTTCTCCATTTTTTCGTCAATTTTTTTTTCACTTTACTGACATGGAAGTTTGCGATTCTTACAGAGTGTGTTCAATATTCCCGATGACCCAGACAAGAGGAGATCGTTTGAAGGTTTTGTACAAGAGAGATTCTAAAACTTCAAAAGTTTCTTAAGAACAAGATGGATCCATAAGAAGCAAAGGCATAAACCCAAGAAAACTTTGATGGGTAATGCAAGATAGGATGAAGTTCAGAAGAAACCGTGGGATGTATATCCACAAATAACGAAGGAGGACTGGGAGAAGTTCGTAGCGAAATCAACAACTACTACTGCTTTTGTATGTAATCTTATATAAATTACAGTTACTTTGAAAAATTTGCTCACTTCATATAATGATGCGAACAATTGCTAATGTGTAGGAAAGAAGTCAACAAGCTACGCGCAATGCTGAGAAGAAAATGTATAACCATCATATGGGTTGTAAGACATTTGCGGAAAGTCGAGAATAGTGGATCAAAGAGGGTTTGTACCCCACATCCAAAATATCTTCACCTGATACACCGATTCCCTCCACGGTGACATCTTTGGTGAGTCGTGCCAATGACTGGTGGTGTGCTATGCATGGGATCGACAAGAACACCGGGAAGTACGTCATGCACCCGGATACCAAAACAGTAGCAGATGCACTTGTAAGCACCCTAATCTATGACATTTATGATAATATTTCACCGTTATCATTATCTAATATTTCGATAACGACTACATCTAACTTAGAATGAAAATTTTTTTTGGTGTTGTTGCAGCTCGAGCATACGTCAGAAGTAGTTGAAGGCAAGCTCACTCCAAGCATTGAGAACGATCCTTTTACCTTGGCTTTGGGAAAACCATACCACCCTGGGCGAGTAATTGGAGCGGGCGGCAAGCAACTTGGGTGGGAAAAGGTTATGGGTTCAGATTACACTAGATCAGGAAGATCTAGATCAAGTGTGAATTCGCCCTACCGAATGGATGCCAAGGAAAAAGAATCAATAAAGGCGGAGATTCGCAAAGAGGTGCAAGAACAGTTGCAAAGTCAATTCAATGCTATTTTGAAGCATATGAACTTGCCAACCTTGTATATGCCTCTGGTAATCCCAGTTGACTCATGTAGTCAACCCAAGGATGCCATGGACGATCCACTTGTTGGCAGCAAGGTAATTGTTTTACAATTGAGTTCAATGGCCTCCATATCATCAAACGAGGCCTTAGCATGAATGTTTTGAACTTTTGCAGAATCCTAGTCCGACACATGCAGATTCTAGAGGGATTGCAAACCAAAGACCTGATCCTTTTCTAGATGTTCAGGTAATTTCCAAGTCTCACTAATATGTCCTTGTATTAGCATGACGCTGGTTAATTAGGTTATAACTTGTCCTAATAAAATGTGTAGGAAGAGACGCCATGTGAGCTCCTTCACCCCGAGAAAAACATGGATGGTGAGTTGGTGGGGTATGGTAGCGCACAACCGTTTGACAAGGTCCATTTCAAGTCTACTACTAATACCCACTACATCTCCGTCGGCATCAATTCCATAGTACCTGGGTTTGAGGACTTGCCACTACCGGTCCCTAGAGAGGAATATGACTTCATCACGCTACTTGATGCGAAAGGTAGCTTTGTGCAATGGCCACGTGATCGAGTGAGGTTGATAGGAGGGGTAAGTGTACACAACATAATTGGTTTTTAAAACATGTCCCAAACAGCTTGTAATTTAACCATGTGCTTTTATATTACAAATGAAAATCAGTCATCCAAAATGAAGAAGGTGGAGAAGCCAAAATCTAAGAATGTCCAACAAGGACAAGGACAAGGGTTGACGAAGAGTTCGAGAGGTTCGGCTGCGAGTTGTACTCCACTAGTAGAAGCTGACATACTGAACTCGTTGTCCAAAGCATGTACTTTTCTTCACAACCGTGTGAGCGAGTTGCCTAGGGGTAGATCTATTGAAGTAACTTTACCTAAGGCAATGTTCCACTATGATGACGATGGGATCGCACCAATTACAAAAGAGGATGTGAAGGAATTTCTATCGGGTGCCATGCTTAGCATTTCCATCATTCAAGCTTTCATGAAGTAATTCACTTCCACTAATCATAATCACCCTAGCTTTGCATTTTCGAATATAAACAATGTAATTAATAAGTAATCCCTACATTACTGTCGTGAAGGGCACTACAGGAGCACCTTGTTAGTGGATGCAACTCCGAGGCTGCAATTGGGTGGTTATGCCCCGAGCAAACCTCCATTACCAAATGCTTAAGCAACCCTCGTGAAGTGGAAGATTACCTAGAAAGGAGTATGAAGGAATCAACTCATGGTGGAGATAAGTTCATATTAGCACCATGTTTTGAGGAGTACGTCACAAAATGTCATAATTTAGTTTTTTCCTTTTTTCCAAATTCTGAAATTACAGTTAGCTGAGGCGTATAATATGTTCACGTTTATGTAAATACCTGCAGTTCTCATTGGACCCTTTTGGTGATTTGCGTATCTAGTAACACAATCTACCACTTTGATTCTATTCAACAGACTCCACCACGGAGGTTGCTAGTGAAGAACCTACTGAATAGGTACATATTGCTTCCCTTTGTTGATTGCCCTAAACTTAATCACTGAGAATTTATGTTTCTAACTTAGAACTTATTTTCCTAAAGTGTTATGAAGAAGTTAAACTGTCGTTCTGTTGCGGGTCCTAAGTGGAAATATGCAAAGGTAATGCCTTGAGTTAGTGATTTGTTTAATATACTTGGCTTCGGTAATGGCTACGCATGATAACAGTACCTTTGTGGCATGTCAGTGTGCGCAACAAAACAACGGACTTGATTGTGCCCTATACGTGATGAGGTTTATGCTTGACATAGTCAACAATTGCTCGGAAGCACAACAAGTAGATGAGGTATGCTTTTACTGTATTCAATCTGTACCTTGCTTCCATTATTGCACCGAACATAAAACAAGCGTAACACATGGGGGGGTGCTACATACTGATGACAATGGTTGATTTTTTTTGTCATCTTTAGTTTTGCAAGGTTGAAAGTGTAGGTCCGTTGTCAAGCAAGGAAATCAATGAAGTTCGCGACATGTGGGCTTTTTTCGTCACGTTTGATGGCATCTAGGTAGAATCGGTGTAATGGTTATAATGGTTATATTTGGGTAAGTAAGAAGCTCATTTGAGAAATTTTCACCTACTTACGCTCCTATTACCTCGTATTTGCATGAAAATTAATACTTTTAAGAAATTTCAACCTATAAACATGTTAAATATACTAAATATGGTATGTTAGAGTAGTTGGATATTAGTTTATAAAGAAATCAAAGAATTTGGGTAAGTAAGAAGCTAACTTATGCCATTTTCTCCTACTTATGCTCCTATAACGTTGTATTTGCATGAAAATGAATACTTTTAAGCTATTTCAACCTATAAACATGTTAAATATACTAAATATGGTATGTTAGAGTAGTTGGATATTAGTTTATAAAGAAATCAAAGAATTTGGGTAAGTAAGAAGCTAACTTATGCCATTTTCTCCTACTTATGCTCCTATAACGTTGTATTTGCATGAAAATGAATACTTTTAAGCTATGTCAACCTATAAACATGTTAAATATACTAAATATGGTATGTTAAAATTAGTACATGTCAGTTTATAAAGAAAACAAAGAATTTGGGTAAGTTAGTAGCTCACCCAGCCAGGCAGGTGCACAGCCCAGCCAGGCAGGCAGCCCAGCCAGGCAGTGACCTGCCCAGCTAGGCAGGCAGCCCAGCCAGGCAGGGACCTGCCCAGCCAGGCAGGGACCTGCCCAGCCAGGCAGGGACCTGCCCAGCCAGGCACCCGCCCTGCCAGGCAGGGACCTGCCCAGCCAGGCACCCGCCCAGCCAGGCAAGGACCTGCCCAGCCAGGCAGGCAGCTCAGCCAGGCAGGCAGCCCAGCCAGGCAGGCAGCCCAGCCAGGCAGGCACCCAGCCAGGCAGCAGCCCAGTCAGGCAGCTGCTCAGCAGCCTGCACACGCACGTGATGCATGTGATTTTTGTGCATTTCGTCCATTTTCATGATTTTCGGTGAATTTCTGTGATATTGGTGCATTTCGGTGTTGTGATACTCATGACAATTTTTGTTTTTTCTTATTTTTTTTTCTCTAAAGTTTTGCAAGGTTCAAAGGGAAAGCCCGTTAACAAGGAATGAAATCGATCAATGAAGTTTGCGACATGTGGGCTTTTTTCGACACATTCGATGCCATGTAGAATTGCCGTAATGGTTATATTTTTGGTTTGTTAGCTTGACTTTATTAATTACTTATTATTGTCAAC